GTTGATTAATAAGCAATAAAATAGGATCAATTCAGAATGGAGAACATTTGCGCCTTTTAAGCAACTAAATAAAAAAAACAATTAAGGAATATCCAAATTAGAAACTTTAACACAGTTACATGAATTATTACGTCATTTTAAAATCGTATGATTGGTATTTCACCAATAGAATTTTAATTTAATGCTACACCAAAAATTTTTCTAGCAAGATTATCATAGGATAATTATTTTGGCTCAGTCATTTCTACAAATCGTTCTCGAAAAAGATGAAATCAAATGTGGATCCCGCACCAGTCCCTTTCAATGACCAACGATAACCGGGTCCATGAATAAGTGAACCCAAAGGACTAATATTAAACGGAATATAGCCAAATTGGATAAACCTTAAAACGTTATAGTTTCAAGTTATTGTACGTGAGTACTCATAAGATTACATTGAAAGAATTAATTTTTTTACGCAATTGTATTAAAATCATTGTATAAAGAGTTAGAAAGCAAAAAAAATTAAGAGTAAATAGATAAAAAGCCACTCATATCGATATGTTTATTGTTAGCTATCGCTATATTATAATCCAAGAATGGAAATAATTAATCAATACATTAACGTGGTAAAGTTATTAATAAAGGTATACCTCACATTTGCGTGCAGACCTTTTAATACTAACATTTAAACATTCATTTAAATAATTTTAAAACATGATATTCATTTAAATAATTTTAAAACAGGATTACTTTTTTTTTTTTTTTTTTTTCTACAGTATTTTTAGTAATTTTAGTATTTTTAAAGAATAATTGATGTTTATCATTAATTATTATATATCTAAAACTTCCAAGTTATTGCATAGAAAAATGAATGATCTTTTAACATAATAAATTAAATAAGCATATAAACAGTTACGTACCGGTAAGTAACTAAATGCTGTAAAATGTTGTAATTTGTAATGTTATATAATTTTATATAATTAATATAATTAATATCTAACATTTTATATTCCAGAATCGCCCAGAATTTTTACGTATTTTATATTTGCTTTTTTTTTTAAAAGGTTAAAAAATTAAAAAGCGAAAAAAATAAAATAAAAATTTCGGGAATTTTAAAGAGGTAACAATCGGTTGTGTATCATAAATTTGTAAATTTTCCGTATTTAGAATTACAAAAGAAAAATTACCAGTTAAGTAATACCAGGTAGCTCCTTAACCTTTATCACATTATTTAACACATTTTATTTAATAATATTTATTTAACATTTATTTTTGAAACACAAAGACCGTTCACATGATCTTCATTGAGAGTTTTATATATCTATACGCCATTTGATACGAAAGTATAAATATTTATAAGTTAACTTTCCGAAAAAGATGGCTGATGTGTATTCAAAATTGCATAGCCCTGCTTAATAGGCTAAGACTTATTAAGTAATTATACAAAAAGGGCTAGCTACATAAGTCAAGAATATAAAAAAAAAATTTATTAAATTATAACGTAACGTAGCGCATATTATATCTAATATGTAATCAATATGTACGTACAAAAAGGCCTGAATGAATTTCAAACATCAACTTCTCGTAAAGTATTTCTTTTTTTTTTCTTTCAAAAAAAATAATAATAATCATAATAAATCTGTATCGCTTTTTGTTTAGACCATTTGATTTTTTTCATCATATAAACATCAAGTGAACTATTGTAATATATATATATGTGAATTAAGATTATTTCGACTTTTATATTATAGGTTTCGTAGTACCTGCAGGCAAAAAAAGAGGATATAAAGCCCTATTGTTTGATTTCGTTTAAGCAAACCTTTGAACAAAAAAGAAATGTACACCTTACAACCGAACATTCAAAATATATCTTCTCTTAATATAAAAAAGGACAATTTTCTGGATTCTATTAAATTATCTCAACCTATCGTTAAACCACTTACTGTACCTCAAACTCAAAACACTTCTTCGTTATTAAATATTTCGAACATTTGCAACTCTAATCCGAGTCGTGACCGTTTATTTGACTCTAATCAAATACAACCGCAACAACAAAATCAACAATCATGGATAAATCATAATAATTGGAGCATTGATCCAGTTACAAGTCATA